ATGGACCCCTGAAAACATGAGTTGGGATCATCAATTGTCATGGAGAAGCAAGCATTCCCCGGTCACTCCTGGTCGTAAGCCCCATGTCATGATCAGGTAAAAGGAAAAATCTGTAGACAATTCAGTATCTATCTATCTATCTATCTATCTATCTATCTATCTATCTATCTATATATATATATATATATATATATATATATATATATATATATATATATATATATATATATATATATATATATATATATATATGAAAAAATCGACTAAACATCAGTCAACATTCAACCTAACGATTTGCAAACAAATTCATTTTATCATATGCAGGTGACCTTCAAGGTGAACGTTTTTTTCTATATTGGTCTAAAATTAGTTCGAGAACTTCCAGATTATGCATCACCTGCATCTGACCTTCCAGGTGAACATTATATTTTTTTCTACATTGCACCAAAATTTATTTAATTTGCACCCTACTGCCAGGTGAAACTATCATTTATTTTTTTCTACATCACACCAAAAAATGGGTCAAGAAATTCCAAACCAATACTATACAATTATTGCTGTTTTTGAGGTCAATACAATGAATTAGCCACCTGAGGATTACAATATTCACCGAGCCCGAAGGGCTCAATGATTTCTTGTATGATTCAATGATCAAATAATTGATATTATATCAATACTTCCTATAAACAAGGCCATTGGTCCTGACAAAATTAGTCACAAGATGTTAAAAAATCTATCAAGTTTTCTATAAATTGCCAAACCGTTTTGTTTGCTGTTTAATCGATCTTTGAATGAATATTTTCCCTCAGAATAGAAACTAGCTAATGTACTTCCTCTTTTTTTTAAAAAAAGATCCTTCTTTGATGTCAAACTATAGACCAGTTTCGTTGCTGAGCTGTGTATTGAAAATCATGGAACGAGTTGTTTTTAAGTATATTTACAATAATTTTCATGATTTTAATTTTTTTTTAACAAATATCAGGCTGGTTTCTTACCTGGTCACTCAACTGTATATCAGTTAATTGAAATATATGATAATATTGTTAAATCTATCGATGATGGAAAATTTTGTTGCATGATAATTTGTGACCTATCAAAAGCATTTAATCGTGTCTTGGATAAAGGTATCTTGTTTAAACTTAAAACATATGGGATGAATGGAATTTTGTATACAGAAAGCTATTTAGAATGTAGGTATTAAAGAATTTTGTATCGTAATTTGTTATCATCACCTAGCTTAACCTTTGTATGTTGGTGTTCCTCAGGGTTCAGTTTTAGGGCCACTTTCGTTTTTAATCTATGTAAATGATGCTACTGACAACATGATTACTTTATGTAGACTATTTGCAGATGACAATTCTTTGCAGCATTCATCTCAAAATATGAAAATTATTGAAAGAAACCTTAATAAAGATCTTAATGCACTGGAACTTTGGTCAAAAAAAATTGTTAATGAATTCAACCCCTCTAAAACTAAAGCAATAATTTTCAGCACAAAAAAGCATTGAATATCCTAAGCTTCTTTTTCAACAATGTCAATTGGACTTTGTCACTGAGCACAAACAAAATTGCAACTTTACGCTGCACGAATTATCACAGGTTTAACAACTATAGCCTCTAAAGATTCACTTTACTTCGAAATGGGATGGGAACCACTTAGCTGTAGAAGACAGACAGCAAGATTAAAGACATTTTTTAAAATGCATCATAATTTAGTACCAGATTTTCTAATGGACAGACTTCCAGATATGCGACGTAATACATCTAGCTTTTCTACTAGAAATTCTGAAAATTATGATATTCCAAAATGTAAATTATAGACTTATATCATTGTTCATTCCAACTGTAATGAATGGAGCTCATTACCATTGAAAATAGAAACTTACAATTGTTGTAAAATTTTAAATCTAAGTATTAAAAAATCTGCCCCACCATCATATTTTGAATATGGTAACAGGCGACTGAATGTTCTCCAGACCAGACTTCGACATAATTGTGCATTGAATATTGAACTCTACGGGTGTAATTTAATCTCAAGTCCTTTATGCTCATGTGGCAAAAAAGAAGATATGTATCATTATTTTTTTTATATGTCCGAAGTATAAAGAAGTCAGAGTAAATTTTTATTATTTGATAAAATTCACATTTCAGATACATGTTTTATTATGGGGGATAGATTCATTGAGTGCTGCGAAGAATGAACATCTTTTCTCCAATGTTTAAACTTAATTAAACGTTCTGGCAGATTCACAGATTAGCATTAATATAAATATATTTATTTATATAAATATGTATATACAAAATTATATGTATGATTCTTTAAAATGCATTGATTTGTAAATTTCACAAATATTGAATATTTTGAATGTATACATATTTAACTGTGACCTAATTTAATCTTTGTAATTTATATGTAGGGAGAGGGCGTAATAAGTTTTCAGAACTTGTGCCCAGTCCCCTTTGTAATTAGAAACTACAATAAAAATATGTTCAAACCAAACCAAAGATCAAATGATACAAATTCACTAAGCAATCCATACCATCTTACGTGTTTACATTTCCTGAAGTCCTAGCCAAGCGCACTGAGAGAAGCGGGTTAAAATAAACATAGCATTGTATTAATTTGGAATTTTTAAAATCTATTTTAGGTGTAATTAAGAAATAATAAATGTCAGGCAAGTATATATAGGATTGATTTTGACTAAAAAGGAGCATTACAAGGGGGAGGGGGATTGTCAATTTAATTAGTCAAAATCTTATCTTTAACTACCCCCCCTCCCCCCAAAGGAAAGGAGAATTCACCCAACTCCAAATTCTATTTCGGGCGGGGGGGGGGGGCGGGGGGGTTAAGGTCCATTAAAGGACCAGCCTTTCAATGAACTTATTCTAAAAAGTAAAAATTTACGTTCAGAAAAAAAAGTGTGAAGAGGGGGCAGGCCCCCTACACTCTCCCTACATACACACACATCCACAACCCATCTCATATTTTACGTGCCTGAATGTTATGTACTCACCTGAGTGGTTGCAAATTAAATTATTTTTTCAAAACTATTTGTATAAATTTAGACTATTTTTAGTCCAATGTAAAAAAAATAAAATTCTTATGTTCACATCGAAGGTCAAGTGCAGGTGAACATAACGTAGTATTTTTTTAAAATACAATTTTGGATCTCAGCCAATCAAAAAGATGGGAATTATTCAATAATATAATAAAGCTGGTTATGTTTTTTTTTTATCTTTCTTCTCCGCTGTGCTCGACTAGAATTTCAACAAGCTTCTTTCATTTAATTATTGAATCATAGAGTAAAACAATTTTTTAGCTGAATACGACGATTTAGCTACCATCAAAGTATAATATTCAACTCACACTTCAGGCTCGGTGAATATTGCACTCCTCAGGAAAAGTGAATTCATTATCATAGGGAAGGTCAAGTCCAGCAAATTATAACAAAGTTGAACTGCTCTCACCTTTTTAAGCCATTGTATAAAGTTTGATGATCATATCTTGAACAGTGTCTTTGATCTAAGGCAAACAATTAAAGAAAAAAAGTGAGGTCAAGGTCATAGGGAAAGTCAGAGAAAAAAAATACATTTTGAATTACTTTGTAATTAGATGAATATATCTCAAATGGAAAAACTGATCAAAATTCAAATTGATAAATAGAAAGAATGTGGAAGGACAGAACGATGGAGAAAGATAGAGAGGAACTGAAAGACAAGATGAACATGACAAACACTGTGTGCATTTAAACAAAAATAAAAAGAAAAACACATAAGGCTTATTTACCCCCATTCTGTATCCTGGTTCTGAGGGCAACATGAATATACACAACCTTGGAATGCTGTAGTTGTTGGATTACATTGTATCTGTAGTTTCCCTGTTTCACTTTGTGCTCCTTTCACTCACCATTCTGCATTTTCTAACCATTCACCAAGTTTTGATCAGTGTTCAAGATACCGTTCATTCACTGTTCGTTTTGCGTTCTTTTCTATCAAATTCTATATAATCTTTGATCTACTGTGGTCCATCCTAGCACCCGAATTTGAATCTGTTACATGGGGATACTTGCATAAAATGTTAATGGTGTCCAATGTTCTTGAAAAGATTTCATAACAATTTTCTTGTATATTGTCATGTAAAACTTCAAACATGCACACGACTCATGATTTAGCTCACCAAATGATTAAAAAAAATGGCCATTTTCACATGAATCCAATACTTGCAACTCTGAAAGTCAACCCCAAAAACTACAACATATACAATAAGAAATGTAACCTATTTAAGATATTAACTTACCATTTTCTTTGTATACTTCATTTTGATTGGTAATGTTCAAAATGAGTGTTTTTGAAAAAAGAAAGCCTATCATAGATGTTTATTATCAATGAATTGTAAAACTAGTGAAACTTCTGAAACACTGAGTATTCCACCGTCTACAACTGATTCACGTGGGACAAAATATTGAAAAATGGAAAAAAAATTCAGCAGAGGGAAAAAGCTAGTAGGGCTAGGAATGAAGCCCCATTTTTCTACACTTAGAGTTAATATCCAAGCCTTCTTTGTGCTGTGTTTACTAGGCCTACAAATTCTTTTCCTTAACTGAATTCCTCTTCTTCTTTTTATTTTGCACCACACATAACAGTAGCCAGTGAAATACTCAGTGTTTCAGAAATATCACCAGAATTAACAAACCCCTAGTAATATGTATCTTAAATAGGCTTTCTATTTTCAATAGCAGTAATTTTGAAAATCGTCAGACAACAGAAGTATATAAAATAAATGGGAAGCTATCCTTGAAAACTGCATGTATCATCAGAAAGTATGGGGTATTTTCATCAAATAAAATATCAACCTTTAATTATCAATCCAACATTTAAGATAAATATAATATTAAAAAAAATTCTCAATAATTTCTGGGAACATTATATCTCATATTTATTTCATAGTTCTAAAACCACTACTCATTCAAGCGTGGAAAATAAAAAAAAAAAAAAAAAACCTCTGTTCTCTCTTTAATGATGGAGTGGATATGATAATGAAATTAAAATCAGCTCAAACAAAAGAAATCAAAATACAAATGGAGTAGTATGTTTATAAATATTTCCACCAATGTACATAGTTCAACAATGTCTGATTTATTCCTTTAGGTCTGCACAATTCTGAGATGAATTTATCATAGACAACATAAACAAATAACAGATGACATCCTATAATGTATGCCTATAAAAAAAAAACAACAATGAAAAATTCCTCTCCAATCTTTCATTATCACATATTCTTAGCAATACCTCCATTCACACAATTGATGAAATAAATATTTCAATTGCTTTAAAGTTTCTGTAATTAAAAGGGAGGTTGGATTTACTTTACATTGTACAGAAAACAAACTTGGAAGACAGAAAATTAATCACAAAGAATGTTCAAGAAGTAAATTCCACTTGTTTAGCACAATAAAAATTGTAAAAACACAGTGAAAGAAGACATTTAGTATACTGTGAAAATCTTTTACACATCATGTGCATAAACATGGATATTTATAAACTTATCCTTTGTTTAAGCATAAAAAAATCTTTACAAGAGCACATCAGGCTACAAAACAACAACGTTACACAATACACACTTGTACATGTTTTACATGTGTTTATTCATCTACATTCAGTTTTTTTAGGGATGGAAAATGCTTTTCTTTCTCTTTTTTAAGCATGGTATTTCTTTCTTCCACTAAATGTAATTATCCAGTAGACAAAAGGGAAATTATTTCAAGGTCTACTAAGTAATGCATGGCTTGCTTGAACTCAAATGCACCTACAGTCTTTCATGTTTGTGTTTTTTCCCCTTGTACCACAAGTTTACATGGAGTGGATCTAAATGAAAAGTTATTGCCCAACCCATAGGCATTTTATATGATAATCAGTACCCTAAGAATTTTTGTCCACTTTTGGTTGCATGCACCAGAGAAGTATAATCATTGCATTTACTGGATTAAAATACAGATACATGTACATGTATTTTAGGTATATTTTTTTCTATTAAAAAAATTAATTCACAATAATGCATAAGTACAGCCTGTTGGCCTTGCATCATAAAAACAAAAACAAAAAAACAGAAAAAAAAAATCCTTGACAGATTAGATTGAGTTTATCATATGCTTCATTTTACTTCTCGTTCTTATCTTCTGGAAATTAAAAAAAAAAATACTTTGTATTCTTTCAAATAAATATCTTGACATTAACTGTACTTCTGACACACATATGTTTTATCTAATTACGTTGTTTAAGTTCATTACAAATTTCTAATCACTGCATTTGGTACAAAAAATGCACCCTCAACCATATTTTTACAATCCATATTTAATGCAATTAGTTGAACATTGCACAACTGTAAACAACCAAGTGTGACAAAAGAAAAATCCCACAAATATGAATACTTGTGTATCGTACCTTTGTTCTTGGTCTAAGTGTCACACTGACCCAGAAAAAATAGTCTACAAGATGGAGTAAATGTACTTCCATTTCATTTCAATCATGTATTTTTGCTGTATTGAATGATTGACAAGTATTTCTTTAATCACTCTTATGTGTCATAGGAGGAAACTCATTATCATCATCCAGTCTTAGATGACCCAGGCCTGGACCCTCCCCTTCCTGCCCTGTGGTTCCGTGCTCGAGTTCTTGGTATGGTTGTGATTCTGTAAAAGATGTTGAAATATCAGTCTTGCATCACAGGAAATCTAGAAACCCCTTGATAATACTAAAATTGCATCAACACTTTTTTTTTTAATTTTTCTTGCTATCTGGTTAAAAGAGCTCATTCAAAAAAACAGAATTTGCTAAATGTGTATTTTTTTAAATTTATAACTTTTCAATGTCTTGAAACTAGAATTAAACAACACAGAGGCAATTTTGCAATTGCCTGAATTTTAACATTTCAGCCAAAATGATATGTACACACTCCTTGCCATTTCATATTTCCGTTTTCTTAATCACATTCACTTATCTGTGTTCAATGTGAATTTAGTACACTTGTTGTGCAACAATTTCAATTTCCAAGTCCAATAACAGTGATCTGTATTACATAATTTGCCAATCTGTCCCATTATTTCCCAACTTATTACACTTCCCAAAACATCCCATTTCTGAATTAGTTTGAATCACTTAAAGTTAAAATGCTAGTTAAATATAAATGTTAATTAAAATTAGATGTTAATCTTGTAGCTGTTTATACTTTTATTTGTAGATACATCAATGCAAAAATCTGTAAAATGTGTTAGTGTTACATAAGTTTCTGCCTGTACAACATTAATAAACAATATGATTCAAAAATCCATCAAATGTGAAAAAAAGTGTCTGGTGTTACGCAGAACAAAGCAAACATGCTAAACAAAAACCATTCAAAACCACTAAAAATAGAAAAACTTAATAAAACCGAGACAAATGATGTGTGAAATGTAAATAGTTCTTCCCTATACAGAATGATCCATCATTTCTCCGGTCTCATAATATGAAGGTTATTAAAGAAAAAAACCCTATTTCCTATTTTTTTTTTTTTGTCAGCATGTTAATGAAACTCGATGGTTTAATTCGGGACTTAGGTGACATAATAGATGAGGATTATTTGAGAAATATTATACAATGTATTATAATTACTCCAAATAAGAAAAAAATTAAACTCAATTCAGAATATCACAGAAAAAAAAATGCATGCAAAAATTTCACTTTAATACTTGTTTAAGACAAAGGATCTGTTGCATTGGAAGAATATTTCAAAAGATTTAGAAGTTTTTAATTATTGTTAATTTATAACACAATTATACTAAAAACAGTTATAAATAAATAAATCTGTACCTTGATCACACCTAAGGTACATTTCTTAGTAAATTTAACTCATTAGAAAGTTTAAATCCTATTTCTATGGTATGAATTCTTCCACCAGTGATGTTACCAATAGCTGATATTGAGGAGGTAAAGCATAGTTTTTATGTATCATAAAGTCTGACATTTCAGTGATGTTTAAAACTGTAAACTTTGAATCTATGCACATAAATTTACCTATGACATTCTAACATTTACTTTTTGCTATTACACGTATGTGTTTAAAATATTAAAGTTTCAGTAAGGAATAGCAATGAATTTATGTAAGAAATGTCAAACATATAATACATATACCTGCCTCTTTATGCAGGAAGGTTCCGATGGCTAATCTTGTCTACAAGATGCAAGGTGTGAACTCTTTGCACTCTCTTTAGTGGACATTAAAATTGGCAAAAAATCATTACCTGGGCCACATAATATCTCATCAATTTCACAAGAAGGACTTGGTGGCTCACTGACATCCTGTGGCCCCCCTGTCTTCTTCAACACCGCTGCATAGCTCCCAATCACATGACCTGGGGCCACACAGACGGGGGAAGGTGGCACCCCCTGGTTGTTGGACTCCCAAGCCTTACCTGGAGGTACAACTGAAGACTCAGGTTTCTTGACCGAAGAAGCATAACTTGTTCCAGTTGAGGGATGGGTTAAAGGTCGATCAGGAGAGGTGACATCTGGCACAGGACTATCCCCTGCTCTGCCATCAAGCCTGTAATGTTAACATAAAAAAAATAAAAACTTACAAAAAAATTTAGATATTTATAAATTTCTTGAATTTAAGGAAATGTAAAGAGAGACAACTCATAATATCCACATGTAGTTTACCTGTGTTGTCGTAGAAGCATGCACTCTCCACCTTCATTGGGATCCAGGTTATAAATGTACAGATAACCATCTTGTGAAACAACCAGCTGTCTTGGGACCTTTTGAATCCTATAATGTTTCATGTTAAAGTCCAGTACATGTAATATCACACAGTCATATCTTACCATGATGCCACCTTTTCGTGACTTCAAAAAAACTGGTATATAAATACATATAGCAAATTTGGTACTAGCTCAAATTTCCTTTTACCCTGGTAGTCTTATTTATCTATGAGTACACATATATGAAGAATGAAACAGGATCATCTAAAATAAATCAACAGCAAGTCTTCTCCCTTAAACATGAATCTGTTCCTACAGACACAATAGAATTGAACACATTTCAGACTGATGCTGCGGCCATTATTCTCCAATAAATCACAAACGTCATCAATAAATTTAAATCGGCTTTCGCAAATATTGAATGTGTTCACTAGGAAAAGGATAGAGATATCTTTTGATTGTGATGCAAATAGGTGGGAAAAAATATATTTTGGGTTCAGAATACATTGTACCTTTTCTTAAGCTTGAGATAAAAATGAACGAGGATTCTATTGTGACATCATGAGACATTTTTGACAATGTCCAAATCTAATCTTCAGCATTTCTCTATAGAGAAGTTTAAATATTTGTAGTAGTAGAATCGAAATTGTTGGAGAATATACCCCTCAGTCGAGAGATTTTGTTGGCAAATAAAAACCTCCCTCTTCCAGCTCAGTTTTTATTTGCAAACAAAATCTCTCAACTATCAGGGTATATTCTCCAACAATTCCTCTGATGTGGGAATTATTTCTTAATTATGTGTACAACAATAACTTGCTGCTATTTCCCACCTCACTTTCATGATACATGTCCAATAATACTGAAATAAAGTAAACTTTAATATGGATGTTTATTTTTAAAAAATGAGTAGTAGATGAGAACTGTAAATCTGGAACCAGAAAATAAGGTTCCTGATAACAATGGTGGTAATGTAGATATGGCAATAAAAGGCAATAATTCGAAAAATACAATTCTATCATTACACACTCTATGTTGTATAATATTAAAATTATGGAAAAAGACGCATTCTGTTTTAGTCTTACGTGGCCAGAGCACAAACATTGTGCAATCCTGAGTTGGGTAAGCGGGCAGTGGCAAAAGCTCGGCCCTGGTTGAACATCTCGGTCATCTGACTAGGTAAGTAGGTAGCAGAGGACTTCAAGGCTTGACCGAAATAGCCCATCCAGCCCTGGGGTTCCTGTTCAGTGGGCCTGTGAAGAAAAATCATGCCCCATTTTATACTACTGAAATATACTCTACACACCTATTAAGTGCCGAACTGTTGAGAACTGACCCATCTTGCAAAATTATTGTATTTTTCTTGCTGATCTCTGACTCATGGTATCCTGAATTTAATAACTGTTCCCACTTCATGAAATTGATTTGAACATGGCCAATGCATGTTTTTTTTAAAGCTACATGTAAGCGTTAATATATCAAATAAAGCACATCATTAAATCATATTAGTGTTTAATACAAAATCTATAAACTTTTTTGATGTGCTCATATATATATATTTTAATCTGAAAGTACTCAAACAGTCTTCGACAAATCCCGGGAGTCCGAAGCCCGGGACCTGGTAAAATTGGAAGCGGGCATGTGGAAATTGCATACTTACAAGCCCGAAAGGCATGTAAATTCTGAGGCCTAAGCCTCTGTATTATCAAATTAAATTATACCAATGACATTAAATGTACTTTAAAGTCTGATTTTTCATAGTGGAGCACCAAACAAAATTTTAACGATAGCTTATTCTACCGCGATTTCTAAGGAACTCTTTTGCAAAGGAGACACAAAAAGTGTACAGGTTGAAAACAATATTAATGGCGAGACAATAGATCGATAGAAATGGATTTCGGATCATTTCCTTTGGCATGAAAGGCAAATAAGAATAAAATTACTTGACAAAATTCTGGGCAAGTAAATATTTGTTTGGGCTAGCGTAATAAGTGGTTAAACATGCCCGAAGGGCATGTACTGAAAAAAAGATTAGGAGAAGACTGCTCAAACAATATTTTCTATGAAATTCAAGACAACTTTTATTTCATAAAGTCTCCCTTTCAATATGTGAACTTTTTTTTACATGAAGGTACTGATAGCATGAATACACCTTAATATTTCATACTGGATACGGTATGACTAGTTATTCAAGTTCTTGATAAGACAAGTAAACTCTGTGTATAAAATAGATCTAACTCTTTGCACCAAAAATGGATCTTGACCTGTAGATGTATTCCTGCACACCAAAGACATAGGTATATAAAATATTAGATTCACATTTTCAATGTTTGTGCTATTACTGGGTACAGTCTGATTGACGTTGGTAGAAAACTGTTGTCATTTAATACAGATTAAACAAGCATTCTGAGAGTATTGCATTAGCAATACTAGTCCCCTACCGGCAAGTGTAATCTGGTTCCGTTCCCGTTAAGAATTGAAAATGCCATAATTCCGTCAAAAATTAATGAAGCAGGACGAAATGCAAACTTGATCTATAACTAATCAAGGTAAAGCCACACACCAAAAATCAGCTCAATATCTACAAGCGCTTAGAAGAAAATTGCGGAAAATCCGTAAAAATTGAAAAGGTCGTAATTCCGTCAAAAATCAATGAAGCGGAACGAAATGCAAACTTCTTCTGTAACTCATCAAGATACACTCACATACCAAAATTCAGCTCAATATCTGCAAAGCGTTTAGGAAAAAAAATGCGGAAAACCAAGTGGGACAGACTGACAGACAGACAGAGGGACAGACAGACAGACGGACAGACAGACAGACAGACTCAGAGGAAACCTATAGTCCCCTCCGGTTTCACCGGTAGGGGACTAATAAACTACCTGGTAAGACTAGATGGAAATTTCTGCTATGTATATTGCAAAGATCAAAGAGATGCTGCAGCCATTATTCTCCAATCACAAACATCATCAACAAATTATCAATAATTTTAAATAAGTTTCCTCTAATTTTTACTGCCTTCACTAGGAAAAGGATGGAGGTATTTTTTGATTGTGACACAAATTGGTGGCAAAAGATTTACTTTGGGTTCGGATTACATCTTACTTTTTCTAATCCTTGAGATACAAATGAACGAGGATAGCATTCAATTGGACATCATAAGACACTTATGATGACGTCCAAATTTAGCTTCTGCATTAGTTAAAATATTCGTCATAGAATAGAAATAACTCCCTCGTTGTCGGAATAGTTGGAGAATATACCCCTCAGTCTTCAGATTTTTTTGGCAAATAAAAACCTCATCCTTCAGGCTTGGTTTTCATTTGCCAACAAAATCTCGCAACTATTGGTGTATATTCTCCACAAATTTCTCAGAGGCTGGTATTATTTCTGAAACAGTGGATAAGCTCCTAGACCTTTTCACAGGTAGGTATAACAAGTAAAATAATAAACATTGAAATTCAGTGTGATACCTGTCTTTGGGGGCCTCCAATTTAAATATGTGTACAGTCTCTGTGTTGCTGGATGCCGACAGAAATAGGGAATCTGCACTGAAGGCTAGGGAATATATACTCACACACCTACATGTACAATGAAAAGAGAGAACTAGAAAAGTGTAACACAATCTGGCTATGTAAAAATTCTTTCACTTACAATGAACATAGTGCAATTTTGCTTTGGAGAAAAAAAATGCATGAAAGAAAAACATAATATAAACTTTGACATATCTTTAAAACCATACAGTGTAAATGTGTGCATTAATATTCAAGTATTCTATTACAGTAAAACTGACCTCTTCACACCCCTTCTGAACTCAAACAGCTTCTGTCCATCAGGGATTGAGAACACCCTTATAACTGTACCCTAAAATCATTTTATAAAATAAGTTTTATGCAGTGTTTTAATTTCGAGACAAATACGAGTGTTTACTAAGTACTTATCACAGTATACAAACACGCAAATCAATATATAATATACATGTATATGTAAAAGTGTATGTGAAATAAATCAATTTAACATGGTTCCTCTTATCAATCATTCACCTTCTCAGAGGCAGTAGCTAATTTTGTTCCTTGAGCATTGAAAGCGAGTGATGCTAGGGGATTATCATGTGCCGGTATCATGGTTACTGCCCTCTAAAATCAAATTACATGAAAAAGTAATTAAAATGATGTGTTCTATCATAATCACACTTATTTGTTTCATTCATGTATAGAAATGTGCAATACATCAATAATAAAATTTTGTTTTTCTACAGTTGCACCCTTTTTCTGACCTATTAAATAATTCAAAGAATTACAGATAAAAATTTAAAGCTTACCAAATTGATTGTGTCAAATATTTGCACCTCCCCAATTTGGTTACTTCCTGGATATGCCAGAAAACAGTTGTCATTGTTGATGGACAAAGCACACAATCCATGAGGGTTAGGGGGTGTGTCACGGATAGTGTGCAGAACCTTCATATCCCGTATATTGTGGATGTATAAACTCTCTTCTAAACATACTATCAGCCTCTGTAGAGAGATAAAAAGAATATTCAGAGTGAACAATTGTTATGAAGAAACTATTACTTATAGAAACACATTTTCTATGAATGGATTATTTCAGTAGGTCTGCACCTGTTCTCCAGTTTGTCCAAATGACAATAAAGTTGCTGACAATGCTTATCTCCAGAATCTTTGGCGATATGTGCTTCAATTTTAAGTGTACTTAATTTTTTACAAATTATTGTAATACTAATTTTTTAAATCCATTTGGCATCTAATTAATCATTGAAAGTATTGAATGTTATTTCCCTGTATCGTTATATAAAATGATCTAATGTTCAATGACCTTTTATTTACAAGGAAAACCAGGTACGCTAATCTCAAGCATTATAGATGTTTCCTTATGTATGCAAAGATCAAAAAGGCAATAGTCTTTACACATCAATTAATTAACATTTATATGTATTATTGAAACTGAATAAGACTCTAGTAACAATAATACAAAGGATGTTGACTTGTCCTCCAGATGCAGAGATACTATAACCTCCAAGTCATGAATATTCATGAAGTCATGATCAAGGATCAATACATGCTGACCTGAAGTCAACTTTTGCAAAAGAGGTTATAAACAAACATTTTAATTCTTTCAAACATTGGTCTTTTTTTTCAGCATCTAACCATTCTGTGTCAGATGAAGTGTATATATGGATAGAACAACACAGTGCACTATAAATTTATATGTACATCACTATGATCAGTTGTTTATCTCTTAGTTCATTGTGTTGCAATTTTTTTTTATCCCCCCCCCCCCCACTTGAAAAGCAGGGTTGTATAATGATGGAGATGTCCGTCATCCATCTGTCTATCCATCCGTTGCCATTATGCTTTGGGGTGCCTATCTCTTATCTGCAACCCCTCTTATACTACTGAATAAAATTAAATGAGACTTTCACAGAATCTTTGTTACGTAGTGTCATTGTGCACCTCCTATTTTACTTTTTGATCAGACACTTATTTCAGGTCTCCCATAGCAAAACATGTACTTTTCCATTATGAGCTCAGTGCCCACAGTACCTCTACTTTGTTTTATTCACCTTAGATTCAATATTATAACTCACAGTACTCTTTTTTTTAACTTTTAATATTATTGCTGCCCAATTCATGCATTTTAAGAAGATAAGAATGCAGATTGGATACTGCGTTTCCTTACATTAAGGAAATTTGTATGCACAACAAAAGTGAAAAGTAAAAAATAAATATAATTTAAACCCTGTATATGTACCGTATTTCCAATTTTTTGGCAAGTTAATGTTAAAGTGTCGGTTGTTAAAAATATATTTTGTATTTACTCAAATATTTTATCACATGTATCATGACTTAAATTATATCACCAAAACATCATGTTTTCACTTCACTGTCTGAAAAAAGACCATACTGGTACACAGTTGCCAACTCACCCGATTTCGTCGGGTTACACCCGATTTTTCGATCCTTAACCCGATTATTTTTTATGACACGGCGGGTCATGCTTTTCACCCGATTTTTGCCGAACTGCCCGAAAATCTCCCGATTTCCGGATTTGGTTCGTAAATTAGGTTGCACTTTTAACTTCCAGTTACAAACAAAGCTTGGATATACGTAAACAATGCCGATGGCTATGTTCAGTAGGCCGTGTACCAGTGAATTATCAGTGCAGGTGTAAACAATTACCTGAGAGTTGTTTTGACAAAACAAAGTTTGAAGTCAATTTAAAATGGCTTCCGATAGAACGAGGTCGTTATCAGGGCCAGCAGGAACAAATTGAACGAAGTAAAAGAGAAACGATATTTATGTACATATCAAGGAATCTTTGAAAACAACTTTCATTAGATAAAATAAAGTGTTTGAAGATAGTGTAGGCATAACTGTAAATTTAATAGCACTTGTTAATTAAATTAATTCGGGAGAGGAAAAATAACTTCAAAACCAAAATTGGAATACTTTCAAATTTAGCACATTTAACTTTCCATGTGCTTCAAATCAGCAATGCAGATTCTGAAAAGACTTTCCTTTAAAAAATATGCACACTTAATTCAGGTCAATACTGAATAATGAAACCTTAAATGCTCCTCTAACAAGTAAATTTAATCAATATATATTAATTTTTTTGTCATTCTAAGTTAAAGCCTTATTTTAATAAAATAATTCTCAATACACAAATGCTTATACATGCATATATATTTAATTTAATCATGGTAAGTGTGTCATGAATGTCGTTACGCGTTATGACCAGATTTTTTACTTTCCAAATCTGGTCATGACCAGATTTTTACATGTTGGAGGTTGGCAAGTATGTACTGGTACCTAATTTTATAAAAGGAATTTAGAAGAAAAAGTGATAACATGATGATAACCAGTATGTAGGAAGCCTGGAGTGACTCTGCTATGCTCAAAGCCATTCAGCAGTTTCAAATGTAAGTTTACCATGTAAACTTGCAATACACATCAAAAAGTTTGCATCATTCAGTTTATCCTTTGATCATTCTTAAAATTACTGCATATCAAAAGGAATCTTAATCATTGTAAACAAAGAAATTAAAAAAGTTTTGCAGAACTTGTTACAAATTTTGAGCTGCTCTCTAAAACAAATGCATAAACATTCTTACTTGTCTGTTTAGACGCACAGCTAAAATAGAATTGGAGTAACTGTAGTTACAAATCTCAGTTCCCTTCTTGAAATGGCAGACTTTTAATTTTCTTGGAGAGGATAAACTTACTATGGCAACTAAACTACTGGAGAAAAGTCTTTCAACTATACAAATGTCTTCACTTTCTGAAATGAGGAAGAAAGTAATATATCATATAAAAAGATGAACTGTCTTGGGAATATACACATGATTAAAAGAATTTGACAAAAAGCTTTGTCTATACCAGGGTTAGAAACTCCCTAAAATTACAACTCGCAAATAATTGCGAGTACCAAGAAAGTGAACTCGCAATTTTATAAGCCTACTCGCAATTTTCATATAAAGTTAAATTATATATAAATTAAATACATGCTGTACATGTAACTTAAGGAAAAAGTAACTATTGTACAATACACAAAATACAACTACAGTGTGACTTTTAGTTAAATTACTGATTTAAATCAAAAGCATTGCGTTCTGTCATACTATGTAATTTTGTTACAGTTTCAATGCAAAAAAATTAACTCGCAAGTTTTTGCGAGTTACCTAATTTTTAACTCGCAATTTGGGAATTCTAACTCGCGTTTTGCGAGTTGTATATAGTGAATTTCGAACCCTGTATTCTTCAAAATAAGATGACAAAGAACAACTAATACGTAGTTTAGGGCAATGGTCAGCTGACCTAATTTCAATATGGTCATCCAGCTTGTTTACAATATACATGATTTAAGCCTATGCCCTACATATCTCCATCTTATACATGTTATATCAGAAAGTATTTATGTGTGGTATTTTCTTATAAACATATCTATTCCATATATTTTTCACATTTTTTGTGTAAAATTATAATAAATATTTTTCACAACTCTTTTGTTTTGAAGATCATCGTCTCAGATCTTACCATTATCGTAAATTTGTTCCAACTTGTCGACCGAACTCAAAGAAAATAATTTGTAACCGGTTCTTGTTCCAACTGCTAGCGACCTAAGAAAAAAAAATGTCAATCTAGATGACACATTTCTAATTTAATCAGCTGATATGTATATAGACGACAGACGATGTAAACTATTGGCGATTATTGTCCATTTGCTTACGTGCAATCTTGATTAAAATTCACAAACAGGAGGTCAGACTGTTCGTCCCCGGTTTTAGTTGCGAGGTTCATGAGGCCAGAAAAACTGTTGGCCACACCAGAGTAAAGGTAATCCGTCCTGAAAGTGTAAATAAGTATAATTTCTTTTTCAGGAAAATGACGTTTATGTCGCCATTTGTTTTGTATTTACAATTTGCAACGGCGATTTTCATTGGTTAAAGAAGAACGAAGCGTTTTTGATGTGTTTAGAGGAGTTCCGAATACATTTCGCGCGAAATATTGTAGTTCGTTCCTAAATATAATAAATTAAAAGAAATTAATGAAAAAGGCTGTGAAAAAGGTAGTAAAGATAACGAACACTAAAGCCTACAAACAATACAAGTCTGTGAACATGGCATAAAACACCTACCCCCGGAAATCCCAGAGGTGGGATCAAGGTGTCTAGGAGGAGGAATCAATCTATATAATATATGATTTTGAATTTGAAGAATAACATGCATGGCTCTCCACAAGAAAATAAACACTAACCTCTTGCAGAATGGCACTATAGTCTTCAGAGGAAACGATTTACATGACAAACCGGGACTACCTTGGCTGCTTATGCTGATATTCCGACATACGTGTATTTCTAAATAATACGTACATCTATATATGGTAGCATATTTCTTTCCCCTATATGCAAGTCATTTTTCCATGTCGACATGCAAGATAATTATGTCAACATGCAACATAAATAATTCGACATGCAAAAACTATGCAAACAGTCAACATTACTTTGTTGACATGCAAGAAAAATGCAATTTGATAAGAATTTGTCCTAACGGCTGTATTATTCTGCCCCCCTAAATGCAAGATAAATTATATGTTAGACAACATGGGAGAAAAGTATGTCAACATGCAAGATAATTATGATGACACGCAAGTTACTGATATTTTTAGAGAACTTGGTGTTAATAATAAACATATTTATCTCAACATGCAGCTTATTTATAATGACATGCAATTTTTTTTAAAGTTGGAATGCGAGATAAATATGTTGACATGCAACTTTAATGTTGGCATGCAATTTATTTATGTCAACATGTAACTTGTGTTGACAAGAAACTTAGTTTAGTACGTTAGATGACCGAATGTCAATGGAAGACTTGAAATTCTGATCATATTTGTCGGTCTACACAACTGAAGAGGTAACACTCTGTAATAGGGCTGATACTGAGGCCTCGGATCGACATGGTGGTGTGATACAGATCTTGAAATGTATTATTCTCTATGTTCTTAGAATCCTAATAATAACAATTTCTTGGTTTACCCTTTTGTCTAGAGCGCCTTTATTCTTTAATATTTGTACTAAAATTTAGGCAAAATTATATACTTGCCTTTAAGTTTTTCATTTTCTTACTTTAATATCACGTTAAAGTTGAATGGCATTGCAGATTTGTTTTCGTTTATCAAATAATACACACATTTTTTTTCAGCAAATATGCTTCGTACTGATATTGACTAACGTTTTCATAAATATTGTAAGGTCATTATTTCTAGCTGAATTGTCTACGGATTTTCCGTTTACCCGATCATGATGCGGGTTTGACCGGTAGGAGGGGAATTCTTAATTCTCCATGACACCTGATCCCACCTCTGTTTCTCACCTTGTCATCTTTATTTTCTGAAGAATCTTTCCAATCAAACTAAAAGGAGGAAATATATAAGGATTAGAACAGTTTCACTTACATTGAATGCAAATTTGCTATGCTTAGTGACCCAAACTAAAAGGTGTCTTTAACTGAGATCTTTCCCCATTTTTTTTTCAAACTGCACTTGCTTAAAGCTCAAACTTTTATGTCCGTCTGATAAATACCTACCAAATATCTCAAGTCACAAAAACGTTATGTCCAAAAATCATGCTTAAAATATCAGGAGTGCAACACCTTTTTGCGACATTTTGGAAATAGTTTTTTAAAGATTCGAGTTCAATGACGAAAAGACCCATTCATACTATCAAATATTCTATAATCAGTAATGATCTATTTGAATAATTTAGTACTAAATTATATTGTCAGTTTTATTATTAAAATCTGTCTCTTGTTCAATTTGATCAATCCAGAGGTGTTTTTCCCCCTTTTCTTTGAATTTTTAAGAAAATAAAATAAATAAAAATAAAATTAAAAAAACTGAAAAATTTATAAAATTCAAGTAATTCTAGCTCCTCTTACGCACCTGATCCCACCTCTGGAATTTCCGGGGGTCCGTGTATTATGCCCTGTTCACAAATCTGTATTGTTTGTAGATTTTTAAATATCGATCACTCTTCGTTATTTTCACTTTTTTCATTATACCTGGTACATGTAATGACTTCATTTATTGTTGAACTAATACCTGTACAAGTACAGTCAGCTCTGCAGGATTAAAGAAGCTACCACTCCGGAAATGGAATACGCGGCTTTTTCAAGCAGTCATTTTTTATCGAACGACCAACAATTCTTTCGTTCCCGAAGAATGAAATTAGAAGAACGAAATAAACTTTTAACTTTATAACAAATTCACTCTATTTTTGCACTATGTGTTTTATTACGATTCTACTTATAACGCATTAAAATTAAGTACCATTTCAGTGGCGGATCCAGGAATCTTGAAAAGAGTGGGGGGGGGGGGCCCACAGCCACACCAAAAAAAAAAACTGATTTTTGAAATCTTATGTATATTTTGGACACAAAAGGGGGGGGGGGGGCGGGCCCCCTGGGCCCCCCTCTAAATCATTTTGTGTCTCAATTATCTGACCATGAAGGTATTTGCTTTGTACGTTTTGGTCTGATTTTTCGCTCCACTTAATAAAAACTATCATTTTCTGCATTACTGTCCAATTAATATTTGGAAACTTTGTCATAGAGTAATTAAATTTTACAGGTGTCATATGTAATCTACATGAATTACATCTGTGGTATGCCTCTTGGTCTGCAATTTACTTTATCATTTGGTTATACCTTATTTTTGTGAATTTTTATTTTTGAGGACAGTACACTTTAACAAATTGAGTTTCCTGTAGCGTTTTTTTCCCTGAGCAGTTCAGCACCTGTATTCTCGAAAAACTTTGTGTGCCTGTTTGCAACATACCTTGAGTTTCCAAACCTGTCTAGGTACTGTGTCAATACGAGGTAAACTATATCAAGAGTATTTGCTGTCTCGAACCGGCGAAAGGAAATTCAAAGAAATACGTCCTCTCATGTCCAGATATAGCGAAGTTCATATTCACATATGCATTTAACATCTTCCCCGAGACCGAGGAAATTTTCCCATCTGTAGTCACATATCTCGTAGAGAGAATGGATGGAGTAAGATTCGTCAAAACAAAAATCAACTCTTCAGAAATGATCAGCTTCTAAATCGGGCATCTGAAAACTTTCTATTTAATATGATAATGCAATACAACGAGAAAGTCTCTGGTATCGTCTCTGACAACCCACCATTTTCGTTTACTACTTTATATTCTCCACTGGCAAACCTGTTTTTTCAAGTACGTTTTGAACTTTTTGCTTCTTTTCCCCCCATTGTTTGGTTTACATCCAGTTATCAACAGCCTGTCTTGCAAGATGGTAGTATGACTGAGGTATTACATGAGGGTTTTCATACCAAGTTGTGCCGAAGTATGATCAACATCTCCCAACTTTAATACTATTCGTTGCAAACTAATTTGAATAATTACTTCTAAACTCGAATTTTTGCAGCTTCCTGAACAGGAAATCATCTTTATTGGCTAATTTATAATACCGTATAAGTAACAATTTTCACACAAATAGTACACTCTCAATATCTATATGTTTGTGAATATGTCTCATACATTTCATAATCAATATTAATGATTATATCATTATTACGGTCAAAACAATATCAAAATCTTGTTAATGAATTGTCAAAGCTTAATGAACTCTTTTGTTTGTCTTCCACTTCTATTGTTTTCTTTATAACAACTTTATTTCATGGTATGTAACTTATCTTCTCTGCCTTCTCTTGCAGTTTGTCCGATCTGTGCTCAATCCAGCAACATGTGCTATGAATTTACACATCAAAATAACTGGATTTGGGATTTTAAAAAAATATGAGTTGTTTCGGTGAGCTTTTATTAGCCGTGATTGTGTACATGCTTCCTAGAATGTAATATTTAAAGTACTTACGCTCAGAACTGTATTTTTCTTTACGAGTTACACACTATTTTCTTTCTTGTTTTGACAATACTCTTTTTGTTTTGTTTTCTCTGTGACATGCTCATTATTTTTATTCTTTACTGGTTTGAACTTTTTCTTACAGAACTTTATGACTTGCATCAATTTAAGTATAAGGGATTTACCAAACCTTCATAGACCAGAATCGGTACATTAATGCTAGATTCTTTCAGCTTTCTAAATGTTTCTTGACATCGTTCATTCCTGTTTCCCTGAGAGACAATTAAGTGGCTTTGTCCTCTGTTTTTGCTTTTCAACGAATCTGCAATAGTAAACAAAGTTTAAGGAATGATCAAGCCTCAGTTGTTGTTGAAGGCAAGGGCCGAGATGTTCCTGATTAAGCTTTCTTTGAATATGTGGATAGGTCTTTGTTTGACATGAAATGATCTGTTTTTTTCTACTTTCTTGCAAACAATAAACATATCCAGGCTTTAAATTTTAAACATTCTCTTTCCAAAGTCTTAAATACTTTGCTTAAATTTTCTTGTATTTTCTCCACTAGTTCTTAATGACAGTTAGTCAACTAAGTAAATCAGCATATACACAATTGTAGGCCCTCAAGCTTTGTCGAAATTAGTCTTTTCTGTGGTATCACTAAAACCAACAAGAGGCCCAGGGGCCACATCGCTCACCTGAGCACTATGACTAGGAAAAAGCAGAAATCACTTCAATCTTGAAAGGTTGAAAAGTTTAAATATAAAAGTGGTTGGGGGGGTAGGGTGTCATGAATTGAACAAATTTGAATCTACATTATCTGAGGATGCTTCCATTTAAATATGACCAATCATGGCTTTGCTGTTCTTGAGTAGAAGATTTTTAAAGATTTAACCTATGTATTCCTATGTAAAACTTTGATCACCCATTGTGGCCCCACCCGACCCCCAGGGGTCATGTTTGAACAAACTTGAATGTACACTATCTAAGAATGCTTCCATATAAATATGACCAATCATGGCTTTGCTATTCTTAACAAATTGTTTTTTTT